AAAATAATAGGTTATATTTTAGTTATGAAACAGTAAAACTTTCAAAATATAAAAAAAAAAACCTCACCTTCAACTTTAGAGGTGGACTCAGCATTAATTCTTGATTGCAGACAATTGGCTAATTTTGTTAGCCAATTTTGGTTGTGCATATGACAATGTTTTACCATGTTCATTTGTCATATGCACAACCAAAATGTTGACCATATCACGTCTCCTACTGTCTGTAAGGCTTTTGAGCATAATCGCTTGAGATTCCATCTCCTCCTGGTTTGTTCTTTGGGATGCTCTCAATCTGGAAACATAAAACAAAGTGTTTACAATGGTACGATAAACTAACTTAATCAGATACATAGTGTGGTGCAAAATAACTATATAACCATCAAGCTCACATGTGAGAGACGAGCATCCTCAGTTCTATTGACTGAAGCAGGACTAAACAGCTATGATCGAGTCATCAGAGTCAACCTCGGTATCTCCACTGTAGCTTGTAAAGAAGCTGTTAATTGGGGAGCTCAGCCCATCTGCAACATAAAGTCATAGTTGTCAAAATAAAAACCTCAATATATGAAAATATAGCATTAAAATTAATTTAATAAACACACACCCTTTGGTGAACAAACATCTAGCACACCCAAACGCTCCTTCTTGAGGAGAAATTCAAATACTTTATCAACCTCAGTCTTCGTCTCAATATAGACTTTGAAAGTTGGAATATCCATTTATTTTGCAACTGCAAAAACAAATGTATGTTAGTTATGCTGACAACAAGATTGTTTAAAAGTATCAAGGCATTTCAGAGTGGAGTACAATGTAATATTATCAAAGCATTTTATTTTATAATGCGCCTGAAGCTAAAGATAATTACATATTTCTTACTTACTACATTTGAAGAATAACGCAAAACAAAGCTGCCCTTCATAGCAGATGTACTTCTGTGGATCGCTGCACATCACTTCAGCATATAGACAATTTTAGTACACACATGTGGTCACTGTTTTAACAGTAATAGTGTTTATGTGGCAAACATAGCTAAAACTACATCCAAAGTCAACTACGCTGTCTGTAACAATGCTAACAACAAAACTACTCATGTCAGAGTCACCTCCATGTGCTGCGCTGTCTGTAACAATGCTAACATCAAAACTACTCATGTCAGAGTCACCTCCATGTGCTGCGCTGTCTGTAACAATGCTAACAACAATGCTAACAACAATGCTAACATCAAAACTACTCATGTCAGAGTCACCTCCATGTGCTGCGCTGTCTGTAACAATGCTAACAACAATGCTAACAACAAAACTACTCATGTCAGAGTCACCTCCATGTGCTGCGCTGTCTGTAACAATGCTAACATCAAAACTACTCATGTCAGAGTCACCTCCATGTGCTGCGCTGTCTGTAACAATGCTAACGCGCCACCATAGCTCATTCCCAGTGTCAAATACTTGCCCATTCTAACCCATGTGAAACCATGCTAAAGTAATGCACGCGGTCGTCTGTCTACGTCACCGGAGCACAACAGGCGTTTCACAATAAAATGTATTCAGTGTATACAGATTGATTTGTATAGAGGGATCCTACGGTCACGTGACTAGCAGCCACGGCAGCCATACTGGAGGACAACCTCGGCGAATAACAGCCATGCTAGCTATCTATAACTGGACGTTCAAAACTAGAACTCTCTCGAACTATGTGAAAACTGAACAGAGAATTTGAAACTTCAGCAGTTAGTGACCCAAATATATACTCAACCTAAATTCATGAATCAGATTCTCTGAAAATGCGTCCTTAAATGTATTATTAATGTTTATCGTTACATTCAGGTTTACCGCGGTCGCATATTGTCGTATTAAAACAGTGTTTTTTCATGAAAACGTGAACAGAAAATTCGGAAAACCTCTGTGCACGTGTATTAAGAATGTATATGTATAATGTATTCTCCAATTAACATTTAATGTGTTTATTGTTACACCATGGATTAGGGCTGAAACAACTAATCGATTAATCAACGACTAATCGATTATTGAAATAGTCGACAACTATTTTAGTAATCGATTAATCGTTTTCTGGTTCACACGGACTCAAACAGAGCAAAAATGACATTAAAATGTAGTATTTTTGATTAAAACCGACTTTGTTTTTATAATTTCATGAATATCTGTCTGTCTCATCCAATCAGAGCAGAATTAGCACAAAGAGCCTGTTACAAACATTTACTTTAAGTTTACGCCATCAATACGTCCTTGAGTGTTGCCACTTTAGCTTTTTGTGATGAAAAACATTTTTTTTTCTACACAATTCACAGCCAAGCGATTACTCGATTAATCGTAAAAATAATCGATAGATTAATTGATTACAAAATAATCGTTAGTTGCAGCTCTACCATGGATCTATGTGTGGCTACACTGCAGTGGAAATAATGAGATTACATTCAAATCAATGGAGCTTTCTGCGTCTACTGTGAGGAGCCGTATATTTTATTAATAAATACTAGTACGGGGCACCCTGGAGCACGGCTCAGTCGTTCACATGTCTGCTGGCCTTCGGTAAGTCAGATACCCTGTGAACCGGGTGAGGTCCTGTGTGAGACCAAATATATAACAGCTATGCTACAAGCTAAGCTACAGTCTATGGAGCAACCCCACGTTGCAGTCAGACAGATATGTTTTATCCTTAAACTTCAGTTTGTTTCGGAATAACATTAAATCCGCCATCAAATTGATTTCACTTAGCAGAAATGAAATGATCCGAGCATATTCGGGCGCTCTGGGGGCTATTAGTTTTTTGTTGTTGCGTATGGTTGTGCCATTTCTCTCTCGTTTCTTTGAGATGTCTTCTGTTTTTGAGCCGTGTGAAGTAAGGACGGCTGGCAGTCGGTAACACAACTTATTTTCCCTGTCTCTCCTTTTGCTGCAGCCAAAAACGGCAAAAATGTTGAACATGTTTATGCGGTCCCGGGTGCACGCCACTATCATACAGCGTTTGCTTGTCCTCCAGTATGGCGGATGCCCCGCGAGTTCGAGGCATCGTGACGTCACGTGAGATATCTCTATAAAGTAACTGTCGCGGGTTCTCAAAAGAAATGCGAACAAAATGATATGGTCTGGTCGGGTTATATTTCTTTAGTGCAGATGTTTATTTTTGCTGCAGCAAGTGAGGGCAAACCGAGTAGTGACCAAAAAAATATGTACAGTGACTAACCACCAGGGCATCAGGGCATCAGGGAGTACAGCTCTGGAGCTTTGTGCCAGCAGTGCACAGCATCCTCATCATCCAGCTTCCACACCCATTGTGGCTCTGACAGCCCTCCCTTATACCCTGAAGCTCCTCCCCCCAAACCAATTAATACAATACAATACAATTTATTCTTGTATAGCCCTAGGTCACAACAGAAGTCATCTCAGAGACTAAACAAAACCATTGAAATCACCAACACAGGTCAGAGAATCAACAGTTAAAACACATGAAGAATATAAAGCACACACAGAAGAAAATGTCCATACATGTTGTAGAATGCTAAAGTGTCCTGATCATCACCAATCCTTTCTGTTGGACACTAACTGTCCAACAAGACCCTCCTGCATCGACAAGGAAAAACTCTTAAAAAACCCAGTGGGAAAAAGTGAGAAACCTTGGAGGAGAACTAGGGAAACCCACAGGGAGGGAGACCCATATGAGAAAGGGATCCGCTCCTCCGGACGGACAGGCTAATGATCTAGGACCTAAGCTAGCTACAGAACGTGGACCAGTGGACGCTGAACGTGGACAGGTCCGGTGCAGGACTGAAGCACTCCCAGGCGGGTCGGGCGGGGCAGTCCGCAGGTGTAGATGGAAGAGGCCAGGCTCAGAGATCCCGTCATCGTACCATGAAACAGACAATGGGACAACGGGTGAATAGCAATGAACAAACTACAGTCAGAATCCTAAAAGTGCTAAACAAATAAAGTAGATAAAGTAGGAAGGAGGAGAGGATAGTGCTCAAGTTACCATACTTCTCCAGCAGGGGGCTCCCTATGCAGCTTGACTGACAGTCTGTGGAGTTTAGCCTTCCCTGAGTCTTACCTTCCTAACCATATGCTAAACTAAAGAGGACTGTTTTAAACCTAGCCTTGAATAAAGAGATTCATGGATTGCACACCAGGCGTGCAAACCGATCCAAGCAAACCTAATTATATATTATATATCATATACATCATATATACCATACATACCATATATATCATATACATCATATATACCATATATATCATAAATAATACACAACATAACATACAGCATAATATATAACATAATATACAACATAACACAATACATTATTGTATAATATATAACATAATACAGCATATATATATAATATATACACCATATATTATATATTACCTAATTATATGCTAAATTAAAGTAAAGTGCTTTAAGCCTGGCCTTGAATGTGGAGACCGTATCTGCTTCCTTAACATAAATGGGAAGCTGATTCCACAGTAAAGGAGCTTGGAGCTAAATGCTCTGCCACCAACAGTGATTTTTGAGACCTTATGTGCGCATGTGTGTGTGTGCGCGTACGTTCGTGTGTGTGTGTCGTTACCAAGCCCTGCGCATGCGCATCAGCATTCTGTCTTTCTATATGTTTGTTTTATGCTGCGGGAAAATGCTGTAATATGTGAACATCAGAGATGTCCTTGAGAAAATAGCTTTGGCGGACGCTACCGCGCTACTTGAGCAATAATATAGCTTAGCTACAGAAAAGTTACTAGGTTTTGTAATTAGTGACGCTACTGTCAAGCTACTGAAAAATGTAGTTAAGCTAGTAGCGACGCTACTTGTAGCGACGCTACTGCCCATCGCTGGCTAAGTCATGCTAATGCTTTAGCTGAGACGTGCTAACACGTTAGCAGAGTTATGCTAGTGTAAACAGAGCTGTAGCAGCGGTCAAAACCAGCTCCGGTCCTGGTCCTGGTTCAGTCCATGAGGCTTTGGGTCCTCTCTCTCTCTCTCTCTCTCTCTCAGAGGCGGCGGTGGGCGAGCACGAGCAGTGACCCCACCACGACCCCTGTGACCAGAGTGACTCCAGCGAAAAGCCACTGCCTGAAACTCTCCTCAGAACGACGAGACATCGCCGCTGCATCACCACCGTACAGGTCTGCAAAGACATCCCATCCCCCCTGCTGGTCGATCCAGTCCTGTATGTGCTCGTCCAGGTAGACTGTCATCCAGCCCACGATGCGCTGCACCAGGTGGCTCATGTCTTTGTCCACACACTCCACACAGAGCGCGCCCCCGAAGGCGAACAGTCCGACCACGCGGCCCCAGTTCACGCCGCGACGCGACAAATAATAACAATTTCTCTTCAAATAGAAACATTTTGATTATCAACATAATTCCTAAATTCATAATATATTATCACAAATGAAAGTAAAACCCAACATAGAAGGAATACATGATAAATAATAAAATACTATAATTTCTCACAAAAATCCGCGTGCCACGTGACCCGACGCGTGACGTCACATTTGTGCGCCCTACTCTCGGCGCATAAATACAAGGAAGACCGCGGGGTTCGGTTTGGCCAACTTTGCTGTGATGTGCGTGTGGAAAATACTGAGATACTTTTGGACCGGTTGGGAGTACTATGGACTATAGAGTGATTGAACGCCAGCCAAGTGTGCACCCTAGACTGACGCGATGAGAGAGACATGCAGGAGGAAACAGGTAAGTCTGTATGAGCGTGTATGAACGTATGTGTGTGCATGCGTGTGTGCGTGTGTGTGCGCGTGTTCACGCCGTGGCCTCCTCTCACCCGCGAGCTGACGGGGTTACTCCGTCACAGTAACATAAATAATAATGCCGTTTCTAAAAAAAAATAGCTCAAAAATGTTTTTGCAGTGACGCAAAATAAACTAATTAACATAAGTTTAACAAATTCTACATTTTCAAATGTGTATTAACCCAATACTAATAAACTCTGTACAACTCCAACCACATATGATTTCCAGAAGATGTAAATCAGTATTTGTAACTTGTAACAGCACTAAGCTAGCAGCTTTCACAAGACACAACCGTGTTCCAAATGTAAACTGTGATAGCAGCATGGACTAAATGAAACTGAAAAAAGTGACAAACTTTAAATACGCATTTAGACTCACCTTGTATCCTTTCGACTATCCATGAAGTAGAAAGAAATGAGTACATCCATGGTTTCCACACTCCGTCTGCTAGTGTCCAGCGAGAAACTGTCATGGCGGCGGTTCAGAAACTCAGAGCCGAGTTTTGGGGGCGGGACATAGGGCGGGGCCTCATTTACTCCAATCGAGGAGATTCTGATCATCTCTGAAAAATCACTCGCACTCTAGAGGCCGCTAGAGGTTGTTTTACTCTAAAATGTTTAAAAAGAACTCAATTGGAGGAAAAAAATAATGACTCAGCCGTTTTTGCTGTGTAGTCAGACCTGTCAGCTTTCTTGACCTGCATGAAGAACTTGCTGATCAGATGATTGAGATCGCCCGCTGGTAAGTTCTCAATCTCTTCTGTGTCTTTACTAATGCTTTTTAGATTATTGTGCAGTGTGTTCCTGCCCCACTTGGTTTTCCTTATTGTGTTCTTAGCCTTCTGGTCTGCAATGAAGTTGTCAATCTCTTCTTGACTGTTGGTTATCTTTGCGCCGTTATTTGCTGTAATTTCTTCCTCTGGCTCGTCAAACTCGTCCGGATAGTAGCATTCACTGGAGAATGCTCCCAGTTGTCGCCCATTATTTATTTTTTAAGCAAGGAAACTCAGGAAAGAAATCAATTGTGATACGCGCTGTTCGGACCGATTGCCATGGTAACGGTCTGAGATGGGAAAATATCAGACCGGTAATCAGCCAATCAGAGCGCGCATACGGTCCAAGTCATATAATAAATTGTGTTATTGATCAGAACTATCTCAGACGTGGTTCTGTTGATACCAAAGTGACTCCACTGTCGTCTCTATAACAGCCTTAATCCTCCTCATTATTGATAAAATTGGACTGATTCAAACTCTACAAGGCGTATCCTTCATTGATAATTGTTTTCACTCATAATAAGAGTGATATTAAGCCGTGTGTGCGATTTCCCGCATTGCTCACTCTATTTAATAAGAGAAAAATACTTCTGTCCTATGGCCCCATGCCACGCCCCCTTTTGGTCACGTGGTTTCAACCCAGCGATAAAAGAGGACACTCAAACAGAAGGCCTCCAGTTAACGTGTAGATCTCACCTGAAGAAAACACAACAAGATGTCGAAACGTAGCGCATAAGAATATTCTACACATCATCTTGAGTTAAAGAGTACATTTTTAATCACCCTGGACACAAGATGGCGGCCACCGCGGTGGTTGTCGATGCCTCGGGACACTTAGTCCAGAGTCAGAGAGAGGGCCCGTGCATTCACTGTCTCCTCCGGGGACAGCAACTTTGTATGACGACTTGTTACGCTTGTGTGTGTGGAAGATTAAAAATTTTACAAAGAGTGAAAATATGCCAATTAGAATTATTTTATTCAGATTATGAAATTAAAGGTAAAAGGTGGTTGCCGTAGTAACAGCGTCCGGGAACCATCTCCAGATGTTGATGCTCTTGGTCAGGACTGGAGCTGGAGGATTTACCTATTGTGCATGTTTTTAGTTGTAGGGGAAACCGGAGCATTCGGAGGAAACCTACGCAGGCACTGTTACAGGAACAGGTGGAACCCAAGAGCACGACCAAACACAGTTAAAGATGAACAATTTATTGATAGTGAGGGTTGGACTGAAGGGTCCACGGGCGCATAGGCTGGGTCCAGACCAGTGGGGGCGGGCTCAAAAGTGGCCAAAATGACGTGCGCTGACATGCTGCAATACCACCCCGGGCCTGTGGGGGTGGACTCGGAAAAAGAATTAGCCAATGCTAACATGTAGCATCTTCTTTGCCCTCGAAAACGTCTATACAGGATGGTCCAAAAGTGGCTCTTGGCGCAAAGCTCCGTTCCACATGTGTGTCAATGCTGAGGGGAGTGGTCTGGACCACTCTAGTTTAGTCGCTGTGGACTTTAGAATGCAAATGAATGGGGCTCGTGCAGCTGAGGCATGCGCAGGAGCGTTTTTTCACATTTTCCAGCAACCGCGGCCATTTTGAAACTGCCCTTAGACCGTGGAAGTTGTGGCACATTAGTTAGAACGGTGGAGATTGGCGTGACTACGTCCGTTGATATTTACAGTCCAGAGAAGCAGGAAGGTGTGGGGGCAGTGGGGTCCAGGGGTGCAGTGGGTAAAGGTTGGTAAATGGCCTCACCCAACGAGTGAGACAGACCATAGGAATAAGTCCTAAAGCACTCGTCCCTACAGTCAAAAGGGGCTGACCCCTCTGTGCAAATTCTCCCTAGTTCCAGCTCTGTCAGATAGTTACTGATCCCAAATCTGTCAAAAAACACATTTGGGAACATTATCTGACACAGATGGATCTATGGGGCAAATGTACAGAGTATACAGCCCCTATGACCATTTCTTACTCTCTCACGCACGCACACACACAACTACCGATCTTGACCCTTTAATGGGGCGTGGTCGGTGACTGTCTGGCCCTTAACCTGCCAGAGAGGACAGGCCATATCCAAGCACTACAACAGGGACTGCCCAAAGAGCTATCTTTGCTCCGGACTTGAAGTTTGACCAGAAACCTCCTTGGTTTTGCCCTGCGCTGGCCTCCTCCGTACTCACCTGAGGCTCTGGCTCCGGTCGCTGGTCTCTGATCTGCTGCTGGTCTCTGATCTGCTGCTGGTTTCTGATCTGCTGCTGATCCCTCAACACCTGAATGCTCTCATCTTTTTCTGCAATGATAGCTCTGCGATGTTGAATTGCCGTTTGCACTCTCTCAAGGCGTTCCCTGAGAGTGTTTTCCTGTTCCTGCAGGTGGACTGAAGAGGGGTGGCCCTGTGATCCGTCTGTCTGAGGCCCTACCTCTGTCTGAGACCCTATCTCTGTCTGAGTCCCTATCTCTGTCTGAGACCCTATCTCTGTCTGAGTCCCTGTCTCTGTCTGAGGCCCTATCTCTGTCTGAGTCCCTATCTCTGTCTGAGACCCTATCTCTGTCTGAGACCCTATCTCTGTCTGAGACCCTATCTCTGTCTGAGTCCCTGTCTCTGTCTGAGGCCCTATCTCTGTCTGAGTCCCTATCTCTGTCTGAGACCCTATCTCTGTCTGAGTCCCTACCTCTGTCACCTCTTTTACCCCAGTACCCCCGACTGTCTCTGCCCCTTCTGCAATGATGGCCTCATGAAGCTGCTTTATCTCTGCTTTCAGCTGTGAAACCTCCGAGAGATGATTTCTACAAATCTCGATTAACTCTATCCAATAATCCTCCCTTTTTTTCTTTGCTTCTTCCTGCGTTGTAAGATCTTCAATCTGCCTCACCCTCATTTTGATATCCCAACGCAGCTTGTCAAGCATCAAGTTCAACCTGAAGACTTCTAAATTATCTGACCACTCCATATTCTTAATCAGGCCAAGTGCAAATTAGAAAACCTTCAACAATTTACAACTTTCTAACCACTTGCTCAACACTAACCTCTCATGCTCAAAGGAGTCACTGAAGCGGACTCTCTCCAGGGCCCAGAAACCTAGCCTGGCGTTTCCACCTAGACTCAAGTCCATATTAGTCAAATGTTACCACGGCAACCTTTGTGACGTCATGAGATCTGCGAAGTTTCCGTAGCAACGCCGCCGTGTTCAATGATTCTGGAATTTGGTAATTCCGGCTCCAAGAATTCCGGAACGTCGACCTCACTTGGGTTTTTAGAGTTTTTATTTTTCCGATTCTTTTTGCTGATATTCAACAAAACGTATGAACATTTATGGACATTGGTCGTCTGTCCCTCGTTTAGCGTTTCCTGTTTTTGAACTGTTTAATTCTCTGATCTGGTTTCTGGTTTTGGACGATGCAAAAATAAATGGAATTGAAACGTACAGACTCTCGCTGTCACTTTAGTTCAAACCAGACGGACTGTTGCTGTGACTGGATTCTGTTCTGAGCTTTGAATGAGAAACGTCCACAACGATTGACATGTGACTTAGCTGAAGTTGGCTGAGTGCAAAAGATGCTGATGATCTACATGAGTTTTATCACAGAGGTGTCACACTTCTGAACGATGGCCGTGTTAAAGCACATCAGACACACTTTAATGTCATGTAGAAACTAGCAATAGCAGCTTTACACAGTCTGGCGTATACAGGCTAATACACTGTGTGGTTAATATGATCCAATAGTTGAGCTATTGGACGACTGTTAGCAGCTAAAATGCATTGTGTTGCTTTGCTCTGACGTTCCTACAGTGGGAAGGTCGATAAGGAGTCTACTCTTGTGTTTTTTATATCTAACTAACTACACGGCTATAATAGGACTACTACCTCGTCATCAACAAGAGACCTCCGAGCGTCTGTCTCGATCTTGGTCTTTCTGATCCAGCTCCATGTGAATCCCATCCTCTTGGTGTCTGCCTCCAGCTCTCGGGGCCACGGGTTTCAGGGCCCCCGGAACACGTGGCCATAAACCTTGGGGGTTCCAGGTCAGTGCTTGTCTAGTTACATTGGAGAATGACTTGCGGAACGTGTGGCCTTCTGCTTACATTTCAGTTAACTTTTTAGAACAGTTTCAATTATGTGTTTTTATTCTCCCGAGATAATAGGCTTTAAAATGAAGTATTACACGCCATAGTTTCCCATGACCATCAATGCTGCAGATCATGTAAAATCATTTCAGGGACCACTGAAGATGGTCTCTTGGGCCGTGTTTGGCAGGTCTGTCTCCCAAATGTCTGTCTCCCATGAACTGCGCTATACTAATACACTTGCCTTGCCACAACAGGAGAAACAGGTTTCTGAGTCATAGATAATCTTACCTGAAAAACAGAGCCCTGGGAGTCACTATTTGACTTTCTGATCTGTTTTAGAGCCAGGAATAGTTACGTTCATCTCACTACATAGTTACATTTTGTGTATTCAAAGTTAGGTACCTCAGCTTTAATGTAAGGATTTTTTTCATGCCTAAAAGCCTGGTTTGTTGCAGTCGTCAATGCAGATGGAAAACAATGGCTCTTCGTCCTAATAGGACGAAGATTTTGTCGCTTGCCGCTTGTTTCCTTTGCCGCTTTGGACGAGAGACTTTCGCTTTGCTGCAATGACTGTTCGCAAAGAGTTGAATTCCTTATCCTTGAGGATGTTCAGATCGGACTTCTTCTCTTCTAAATACCGCTGTATGCTTCTCTGGAAGGCACTGATTGTATTTGGTTCATAGTCAGACCTGTCAGCTTTCTTGACCTGCATGAAGAACTTGCTGATCAGATGATTGAGATCGCCCGCTGGTAAGTTCTCAATCTCTTCTGTGTCTTTACTAATGCTTTTTAGATTATTGTGCAGTGTGTTCCTGCCCCACTTGGTTTTCCTTATTGTGTTCTTAGCCTTCTGGTCTGCAATGAAGTTGTCAATCTCTTCTTGACTGTTGGTTATCTTTGCGCCGTTATTTGCTGTAATTTCTTCCTCTGGCTCGTCAAACTCGTCCGGATAGTAGCATTCACTGGAGAATGCTCCCAGTTGTCGCCCATTATTTATTTTTTAAGCAAGGAAACTCAGGAAAGAAATCAATTGTGATACGCGCTGTTCGGACCGATTGCCATGGTAACGGTCTGAGATGGGAAAATATCAGACCGGTAATCAGCCAATCAGAGCGCGCATACGGTCCAAGTCATATAATAAATTGTGTTATTGATCAGAACTATCTCAGACGTGGTTCTGTTGATACCAAAGTGACTCCACTGTCGTCTCTATAACAGCCTTAATCCTCCTCATTATTGATAAAATTGGACTGATTCAAACTCTACAAGGCGTATCCTTCATTGATAATTGTTTTCACTCATAATAAGAGTGATATTAAGCCGTGTGTGCGATTTCCTGCATCGCTCATTCTATTTAATAAGAGAAAAAAACTTCTGTCCTATGGCTCCATGCCACGCCCCCTTTTGGTCACGTGGTTTCAACCCAGCGATAAAAGAGGACACTCAAACAGAAGGCCTCCAGTTAACGTGTAGATCTCACCTGAAGAAAACACAACAAGATGTCGAAACGTAGCGCATAAGAATATTCTACACATCATCTTGAGTTAAAGAGTACATTTTTGATCACCCTGGACACAAGATGGCGGCCACCGCGGTGGTTGTCGATGCCTCGGGACACTTAGTCCAGAGTCAGAGAGGGCCCGTGCATTCACTGTCTCCTCCGGGGACAGTAACTTTGTATGACGACTTGTTACGCTTGTGTGTGTGGAAGATTAAAAATTTTACAAAGAGTGAAAATATGCCAATTAGAATTATTTTATTCAGATTATGAAATTAAAGGTAAAAGGTGGTTGCCGTAGTAACAGCGTCCGGGAACCATCTCCAGATGTTGATGCTCTTGGTCAGGACTGGAGCTGGAGGATTTACCTATTGTGCATGTTTTTAGTTGTAGTGGAAACCGGAGCACCCGGAGGAAACCTACGCAGGCACTGTTACAGGAACAGGTGGAACCCAAGAGCACGACCAAACACAGTTAAAGATGAACAATTTATTGATAGTGAGGGTTGGACTGAAGGGTCCAGGGGCGCATAGGCTGGGTCCAGACCAGTGGGGGCGGGCTCAAAAGTGGCCAAAATGACGTGCGCTGACATGCTGCAATACCACCCCGGGCCTGTGGGGGTGGACTCGGAAAAAGAATTAGCCAATGCTAACATGTGGCATCTTCTTTGCCCTCGAAAACGTCTTTACAGGATGGTCCAAAAGTGGCTCTTGCCGCAAAGCTCCGTTCCACATGTGTGTCAATGCTGAAGGGAGTGGTCTGGACCACTCTAGTTTAGTCGCTGTGGACTTTAGAATGCAAATGAATGGGGCTCGTGCAGCTGAGGCATGCGCAGGAGCGTTTTTTCACATTTTCCAGCCCCCGCGGCCATTTTGAAACTGCCCTTAGACCGCGGAAGTTGTGGCACATTAGTTAGAACGGTGGAGATTGGCGTGACTACGTCCGTTGATATTTACAGTCCAGAGAAGCAGGAAGGTGTGGGGGCAGTGGGGTCCAGGGGTGCAGTGGGTAAAGGTTGGTAAATGGCCTCACCCAACGAGTGAGACAGACCATAGGAATAAGTCCTAAAGCACTCATCCCTACAGTCAAAAGGGGCCGACCCCTCTGTGCAAATTCTCCCTAGATCCAACTCTGTCAGTTAGTTACTGATCCCAAATCTGTCAAAAAACACATTTGGGAACAATATCTGACACAGATGGATCTATGGGGCAAATGTACAGAGTATACAGCCCCTATGACCATTTCTTACTCTCTCACGCACACGCACACGCACACGCACACGCACACGCACACACACACGCACACACACACACACACACACACACAAACACACAAACACACAAACACACACACACGCACACACACGCACACACACACACACAACTACCGACCTTGACCCTTTAATGGGGCGTGGTCGGTGACTGTCTGGCCCTTAACCTGCCAGAGAGTACAGGCCATATCCAAGCACTACAACAGGGACTGCCCAAAGAGCTATCTTTGCCCCGGACTTGAAGTTTGACCAGAAACCTCCTTGGTTTTGCCCTGCGCTGGCCTCCTCCGTACTCACCTGAGGCTCTGGCTCCGGTTGCTGGTGTCTGATCTGCTGCTGGTCTCTGATCTGCTGCTGGTCTCTGATCTGCTGCTGATCCCTCAACACCTGAATGCTTTCATCTTTTTCTGCAATGATAGCTCTGCGATGTTGAATTGCCGTTTGCACTCTCTCAAGGCGTTCCCTGAGAGTGTTTTCCTGTTCCTGCAGGTGGACTGAAGAGGGGAGGCCCTGTGATCCGTCTGTCTGAGGCCCTACCTCTGTCTGAGTCCCTACCTCTGTCTGAGGCCCTACCTCTGTCTGAGTCCCTACCTCTGTCTGAGACCCTACCTCTGTCTGAGACCCTATCTCTGTCTTAGACCCTATCTCTGTCTGAGACCCTATCTCTGTCTGAGTCCCTATCTCTGTCTGAGTCCCTATCTCTGTCTGAGTCCCTATCTCTGTCTGAGACCCTATCTCTGTCTGAGACCCTACCTCTGTCTGAGTCCCTACCTCTGTCTGAGTCCCTACCTCTGTCACCTCTTTTACCCCAGTACGCTCGACTGTCTCTGCCCCTTCTGCAATGATGGCCTCATGAAGCTGCTTTATCTCTGCTTTCAGCTGTGAAACCTCCGAGCGATGATTTATAAAAATCTCGAATAACTCTATCCAATTATCCTCCCTTTTTTTCTTAATTTCTTCCTGCGTTGTAAGATCTACAATCTGCCTCACCCTCATTTTGATATCACAACGCAGCTTGTCAAGCATCAAGTTCAACCTGAAGACTTCTAAATTATCTGACCACTCCATATTCTTAATCAGGCCAAGTGCAAATTAGAAAACCTTCAACAATTTACAACTTTCTAACCACTTGCTCAACACTAACCTCTCATGCTCAAAGGAGTCACTGAAGCGGACTCTCTCCTAGACTCAAATCCATATTAGTCAAATGTTACCACGGCAACCTTTGTGACGTCATGAGATCTGCGAAGTTTCCGTAGCAACGCCGCCGTGTTCAATGATTCTGGAATTTGGTAATTCCGGCTCCAAGAATTCCGGAACGTCGACCTCACTTGGGTTTTTAGAGTTTTTATTTTTCCGATTCTTTTTGCTGATATTCAACAAAACGTATGAACATTTATGGACATTGGTCGTCTGTCCTTCGTTTAGCGTTTCCTGTTTTTGAACTGTTTGATTCTCTGATCTGGTTTCTGGTTTTGGACGATGCAAAAATAAATGGAATTGAAACGTACAGACTCTCGCTTTAGTTCAAACCAGACGGACTGTTGCTGTGACTGGATTCTGTTCTGAGCTTTGAATGAGAAACGTCCACAACGATTGACATGTGACTGAGCTGAAGTTGGCTGAGTGCAAAAGATGCTGATGATCTACATGAGTTTTATCACAGAGGTGTCACACTTCTGAACGATGGCCGTGTTAAAGCACATCAGACACACTTTAATGTCATGTAGAAACTAGCAATAGCAGCTTTACACAGTCTGGCTAATACACTGTGTGGTTAATATGATCCTATAGTTGAGCTATTGGACGACTGTTAGCAGCTAAAATGCATTGTGTTGCTTTGCTCTGACGTTCCTACAGTGGGAAGGTTGATAAGGAGTCTACTCTTGTGTTTTTTATATCTAACTAACTACACGGCTATAATAGGACTACTACCTCGTCATCAACAAGAGACCTCCGAGCGTCTGTCTCGATCTTGGTCTTTCTGATCCAGCTCCACGTGAATCCCATCCTCTTGGTGTCTGCCTCCAGCTCTCGGGGCCACGGGTTTCAGGGCCCCCGGAACACGTGGCCATAAACCTTGGGGGTTCCAGGTCAGTGCTTGTCTAGTTACATTGGAGAATGACTTGCGGAACGTGTGGCCTTCTGCTCACTTCAGTTAACTTTTTAGAACAGGTTCAATTATGTGTTTTTATTCTCCTGAGATAATAGGCTTTAAAATGAAGTATAACACGCCATAGTTTCCCATGACCATCAATGCTGCAGATCATGTAAAATCATTTCAGGGACCACTGAAGATGGTCTCTTGGGCCGTGTTTGGCAGGTCTGTCTCCCATGAACTGCGCTATACTAATACACTTGCCTTGCCACAACAGGAGAAACAGGTTTCTGAGTCATAGATAATCTTACCTGAAAAACAGAGCCCTGGGAGTCACTATTTGACTTTCTGATCTGTTTTAGAGCCAGGAATAGTTACGTTCATCTCACTACATAGTTACAATTTGTGTATTCAAAGTTAGGTACCTCAGCTTTAATGTAAGGATTTTTTTCATGCCTAAAAGCCTCGATTGTTGCAGTCGTCAATGTAGATGGAAGATGGGATGCAGATTGTGAGGCTTTCATTAGGTTATAATTTAGACCAGGGCTGTTGGGGCCGAACTTATGAAAATGTTTTTCTTGTATTATACATATTTTTTACGTCATGAAGGTTTTTTGAGAAATGCCTTGTTTTAGAGCCCTGCACGGGCCTATTATCTGGGCCCGAGCCCGGCCCTGGCCTGAGGGGGTGGCGCCCCAGCCCGGCCCGGCCCGACATGGTTTCTGAATTCTCAGGCCCAAAACCCGTATCAAGCCCGACTTATTTCTGTTTTGTTTACCTCCCATAACAATGTTTTAGCGTAGTATCTAGTGCGGCGCACTATGAACACAGGCCCGGCCAGAGGGCGGAGTCATACATGGTACTGATACTGTGTTGGAATGAGTTCTGTGTTTACGGAGTGAACGGCCGCAGCTGTATGATACACAGCTGCATGACACACACCTGCATGACACACACCTGGATGATACACAGCTGTATGATACACAGCTGTATGACACACACGTGGATGATACACAGCTGTATGATACACAGATGTATGATACACAGATGTATGATACACAGCTGCATGACACACACCTGCATGACACACACCTGGATGATACACAGCTGTATGATACACAGATGTATGATACACAGCTGTATGATACACACCTGCATGACACACACCTGTATGATACACAGCTGTATGATACACAGATGTATGATACACAGATGTATGATACACAGCTGTATGATACACAGATGTATGATACACAGATGTATGATACACAGCTGTATGATACACAGATGTATGATACACAGCTGTATGATACACAGATGTATGATACACAGCTGTATGATACACAGATGTATGATACACAGATGTATGATACACAGCTGTATGATACACAGATGTATGATACACAGCTGTATGATACACAGCTGTATGATACACAGCTGTATGATACACAGCTGTATGATACACAGATGTATGATACACAGCTGTATGATACACAGCTGTATGATACACAGATGTATGATACACAGCTGTATGATACACAGATGTATGATACACAGATGTATGATACACACCTGCATGACACACACCTGGATGATACACAGATGTATGATACACAGATGTATGATACACAGCTGCATGATACACAGATGTATGATACACAGATGTATGATACACAGCTGTATGATACACAGATGTATGATACACAGCTGTATGATACACAGATGTATGATACACAGATGTATGATACACAGATGTATGATACACAGATGTATGATACACAGATGTATGATACACGATACACAGATGTATGATACACAGACGTATGATACACAGATGTATGATACAGAGCTGTATGATACACAGATGTATGATACACAGATGTATGATACACAGCTGTATGATACACAGATGTATGATACACAGCTGTATGATACACAGATGTATGATGCACAGATGTATGATGCACAGATGTATGATACACAGATGTATGATACACAGATGCTGCAAAAAATTCCAACACTTGAAGGTAACGCTGTCGTCAATGACAACACTAAACAGAACAACAAACATTATAGCGAGATAGAACGCTGTATTCAGTGTATGTGTTCTATTGGAGCGGCGAAGCTCCATCCAAGCAGCAGCTTCAATCACGCTGCAACCCTCCTCCTCCCCATCTCCACCACATTCCAGCTCTTCCATCCTTCTCTCGGATCACCTCCAGGGTCTAGGCCCCAGAGGACCACCTTCAGGGTCTAGGCCCCAGAGGATCACCTCCAGGGTCTAGGCCCCAGAGGATCACCTCCAGGGTCTAGGCCCCAGAGGACCACCTTCAGGGTCTAGGCCCCAGAGGATCACCTCCAGGGTCTAGGCCCCAGAGGATCACCTCCAGGGTCTAGGCCCCAGAGGACCACCTCCAGGGTCTAGGCCCCAGAGGACCACCTCCAGGGTCTAGGCCCCAGAGGATCACCTCCAGGGTCTAGGCCCCAGAAGATTTAATCTCATATTCTGTTTCCCCGTCTGCCTCATCCCTGGTCCTCAGACTGTTCTGCCCTCTCCCTCTTTGCCCTCTCCCTCTGGTCCTCAGACTCACTGTGGTCTGTGCCCTCTCCCTCTGGTCCTCAGACTCACTGTGGTCTGTGCCCTCTCCCTCTGGTCCTCAGACTCACTGTGGTCTGTGCCCTCTCCCTCTGGTCCTCAGACTCACTGTGGTCTGTGCCCTCTCCCTCTGGTCCTCAGACTCACTGTGGTCTGTGCCCTCTCCCTCTGGTCCTCTGACTCACTGTGGTCTGTGCCCTCTCCCTCTGGTCCTCTGACTCACTGTGGTCTGTGCCCTCTCCCTCTGGTCCTCTGACTCACTGTGGTCTGACTCCAGCGTTGGGAGAAAATCCACCAGTTCACAGCTCGGCACTTTCAGGCTTTTCTCCGTAATGTGAGGTCGGGAAATGTTTTTTTTGGTGAAAGTAAACGCTACAGTCAGAGGTGCACCGAGACCTGGACAGAAGCACGGGTTTGTGCTGCTCCAGGAACCTCCAGGAACCTCCGGGAACCTCCAGGAACCTTCAGGAACATTGAGGAACCTCCAGGAACCTCCAGGGGGCCGTAAAGCTCCAGGACTGCATTTCTCTCAGGAGACAAACAATAACAATATTAGCTAATCTACTGCTTAGCTAACCACCTCCTCCCCAAAGACCTAAACCAGTTCTGATCCAGAGGTCCTCATGGTTTTGGAGAGATCTTTTCTTGGCTGAGCTCATGGAGGCAGAGGCTGATCCTCTCTGAGTCCTACGTCAAAGGCCAGGACCAGGACCAGGATCAGGATCAGCACCAGGATCAGGGACAAGACCAGGACCAGGATCAGCACCAGGACCAGGGACAGCACAGCAATGCTAGGACCAGCAACAGGACAATGCCAGGATCAGGGACAGGACCAGGACCATACCAGGGCCAGGTCCAGGACCAGGATCAGGACCGCGGTTGAGCCGGTCCCACACAGGGGCTAATGAAGTGCTGCATTTGCGCTTTTTTTTAATCAATTAACCTTTAGAGCGTGAGACTGATGAGGAGGGGAGGGGGGGAGGATGAGGCTTTCCCACACAATCGATAACTCTGAATATTCTGAGAGCAGCAAATGTCAGCAAGTACCAGAGGGGGAGGAGGGGGGAGGCAGACCCAGACCTGTGGGTGTGGGAAGAGCCAAAATGCCTAAAGTTCCTCAGATAAAAATGTTTCGTCCAAAAATAAAGTTCAAATTAAAATAAAGTGTTTTTAAAGTCTCAGACAAACTATTATTATTATGTTTTAATATTTACAATCTGTGCTTTAAACTCAGATCAAAGACGTGTTTGTAGCACGAGCTTTATGTTCAGTGTCAGTGATGAACCCACCACACATGGTGTCAGCCTGAACCCACCACACATGGTGTCAGCCTGAACCCACCACACATGGTGTCAGACTGAACCCACCACACATGGTGTCAGCCTGAACCCACCACACATGGTGTCAGCCTGAACCCACCACACATGGTGTCAGCCTGAACCCACCACACATGGTGTGAGTCTGAACCCACCACACATGGTGTCAGTGCTGAAGCCACCACACATGGTGTGAGTCTGAACCCACCACACATGGTGTGAGTCTGAACCCACCACACATGGTGTCAGCCTGAACCCACCACACATGGTGTCAGCCTGAACCCACCACACATGGTGTCAGCCTGAACCCACCACACATGGTGTGAGTCTGAACCCACCACACATGGTGTGAGTCTGAACCTGGTGTGAGTCTGAACCATGGTGTGAGTCTGAACCCACCACACATGGTATCAGTGCTGAACCCACCACACATGGTGTCAGTGCTGAACCCACCACACATGGTGTCAGTGCTGAACCCACCACACATGGTGTCAGCGCTGAACCCACCACACATGGTGTCAGCCTGAACCCACCACACATGGTGTCAGCCTGAACCCACCACACATGGTGTCAGCCTGAACCCACCACACATGGTGTCAGCCTGAACCCACCACACATGGTGTCAGCCTGAACCCACCACACATGGTGTCAGTGCTGAACCCACCACACATGGTGTGAGTCTGAACCTGGTGTGAGTCTGAACCATGGTGTGAGTCTGAACCCACCACACATGGTATCAGTGCTGAACCCACCACACATGGTGTCAGTGCTGAACCCACCACACATGGTGTCAGTGCTGAACCCACCACACATGGTGTCAGCGCTGAACCCACCACACATGGTGTCAGCCTGAACCCACCACACATGGTGTCAGCCTGAACCCACCACACATGGTGTCAGCCTGAACCCACCACACATGGTGTCAGCCTGAACCCACCACACATGGTGTCAGCCTGAACCCACCACACATGGTGTGAGTCTGAACCCACCACACATGGTGTCAGTGCTGAACCCACCACACATGGTGTGAGTCTGAACCATGGTGTGAGTCTGAACCCACCACACATGGTATCAGTGCTGAACCCACCACACATGGTGTCAGTGCTGAACCCACCACACATGGTGTCAGCGCTGAACCCACCACACATGGTGTCAGCCTGAACCCACCACACATGGTGTCAGCGCTGAACCCACCACACATGGTATCAGCGCTGAACCCACCACACATGGTGTCAGCGCTGAACCCACCACACATGGTGTGAGTCTGAACCCACCACACATGGTGTGAGTCTGAACCCACCACACATGGTGTCAGTGCTGAATCCACCACATATGGTGTGAGTGTTGAACCCACCACACATGGTGTCAGCGCTGAACCCACCACACATGGTGTCAGCGCTGAACCCACCACACATGGTGTGAGTCTGAACCCACCACACATGGTGTCAGTGCTGAACCCACCACACATGGTGTCAACCTGAACCCACCACACATGGTGTCAGTGCTGGACCCACCACACATGGTGTCAGCGCTGAACCCAATACACATGGTGTCAGCCTGAACCCACCACACATGGTGTCAGCGCTGAACCCACCACACATGGTGTCAGCCTGAACCCACCACACATGGTGTCAGCGCTGAACCCAATACACATGGTGTCAGCCTGAACCCACCACACATGGTGTCAGCCTGAACCCACCACACATGGCGTCAGCGCTGAACCCACCACACATGGTGTCAACCTGAACCCACCACACATGGTGTCAGTGCTAAACCCACCACACATGGTGTCAGCGCTGAACCCAATACACATGGTGTCAGCCTGAACCCACCACACATGGTGTCAGCACTGAACCCACCACACATGGTGTAAGCGCTGAATCCACCACACATGGTGTCAACCTGAACCCACCACACATGGTGTCAGTGCTGAACCCACCACACATGGTGTCAACCTGAACCCGCCACACATGGTGTCAGTGCTGAACCCACCACACATGGTGTCAGTGCTGAACCCCCCACACATGGTGTCAGTGATGAACCCACCACACATGGTGTCAGTGCTGTCTTCACACCGACACCAGTGACAGATTTTTAACTGAAATGAAAAACCAGTGGCACAAACTCTAGAGAACAAATCTTGATTAATTCATTTTACAAAACTATATAACACAGAGAGACCAGAGAGAGACCAGAGAGAGACCAGAGAGAGACCAGAGAGAGACCAGAGAGAGACCAGAGATAGAGACCAGAGAGAGACCAGAGAGAGACCAGAGAGAGACCAGAGAGAGACCAGAGAGACCAGAGAGAGACCAGAGAGAGACCAGAGAGAGACCAGAGAGAGACCAGAGAGAGACCAGAGAGAGACCAGAGAGAGACCAGAGAGAGACCAGAGAGAGACCAGAGGGAGACCAAAGAGAGACCAAAGAGAGACCAAAGAGAGACCAAAGAGAGACCAGAGGGAGACCAGAGGGAGACCAGAGGGAGACCAGAGGGAGACCAAAGAGAGACCAAAGAGAGACCAGAGGGAGACCAGAGGGAGACCAGAGGGAGACCAAAGAGAGACCAGAGGGAGACCAGAGGGAGACCAGAGAGAGACCAGAGAGACCAGAGAGACCAGAGTGAGACCAGAGAGAGACCAGAGAGAGACCAGAGAGAGACCAGAGAGGGACCAGAGAGAGACCAGAGAGACCAGAGAGAGACCAGAGAGACCAGAGAGAGACCAGAGAGAGACCAGAGAGAAACCAGAGAGGGACCAGAGAGAGACCAGAGAGGGACCAGAGAGGGACCAGAGAGACCAGAGAGAGACCAGAGAGAGACCAGAGAGACCAGAGAAAGACCAGAGAAAGACCAGAGAGAGACCAGAAAGGGACCAGAGAGAGACCAGAGAGAGACCAGAGAGACCAGAGAGAGACCAGAGGGAGACCAGAGGGAGACCAAAGAGAGACCAAAGAGAGACCAGAGGGAGACCAGAGGGAGACCAGAGAGACCAGCGAGAGACCAGAGAGAGACCAGAGAGAGACCAGAGGAAGACCAGAGGGAGACCAAAGAGAGACCAAAGAGAGACCAAAGAGAGACCAGAGGGAGACCAGAGAGAGACCAGAGAGAGACCAGAGAGAGACCAGAGAGAGATCGAGAGACCAGAGGGAGACCAGAGGGAGACCAAAGAGAGACCAAAGAGAGACCAAAGAGAGACCAGAGCGAGACCAGAGAGAGACCGAGAGACCAGAGAGAGACCAGAGAGAGACCAGAGGGAGACTAAAGAGAGACTAAAGAGAGACCAGAGAGAGACTAGAGAGAGACCAGAGAGACCAGAGAGAGACCAGAGAAAGATTAGAGAGAGACCAGAGAGACCAGAGAGAGACCAGAGAGAGACCAGAGAGACCAGAGGGAGACCAAAGAGAGACCAAAGAGACCAGAGAGAGACCAGAGGGAGACCAGAGAGAGACCAGAGGGAGACCAAATAGAGACCAAAGAGACCAGAGGGAGACCAGTGAGAGACCAGAGAGAGACCAGAGAGAAACCAGAGAGGGACCAGAGAGAGACCAGAGAGGGACCAGAGAGAGACCAGAAAGACCAGAGAGAGACCAGAGAGAGACCAGAGAAAGACCAGAGAGGGACCGGAGAGGGACCAGAGAGAGACCAGAGAGGGACCAGAGAGAGACCAGAGAGACCAGAGAGAGACCAGAGGGAGATTAGAGGGAGACCAGAGGGAGACCAAAGAGAGACCAAAGAGAGACCAAAGAGAGACCAGAGGGAGACCAGAAGGAGACCAAAGAGAGACCAAAGAGAGACCAGAGGGAGACCAGAGGGAGACCAGAGAGAGACCAGAGAGACCAGAGAGACCAGAGAGAGACCGAGAGACCAGAGAGAGACCAGAGGGAGACCAAAGAGAGACCAAAGAGAGACCAGAGAGAGACCAGAGGAAGACCAGAGAGAAACCAGAGAGAGACCAGAGAGAGACCAGAGAAAGATTAGAGAGAGACCAGAGAGACCAGAGAGAGACCAGAGAGAGACCAGAGAGAGACCAGAGAGAGACCAGAGGGAGACCAAAGAGAGACCCAGAGAGAGACCAGAGGGAGACCAGAGAGAGACCAGAGGGAGACCAAAGAGAGACCAAAGAGACCAGAGGGAGACCAGAGAGAGACCAGAGAGAGACCAGAGAGAGACCAGAGAGAGACCAGAGAGAGACCAGAGAGAGACCAGAGAGAGACCAGAGAAAGACCAGAGAGGGACCAGAGAGACCAGAGAGAGACCAGAGAGAGACCAGAGAGACCAGAGAGAGACCAGAGAGAGACCAGAGAGAGACCAGAGGGAGACCAAAGAGAGACCAAAGAGAGACCAAAGAGAGACCAAAGAGAGACCAGAGGGAGACCAGAGGGAGACCAAAGAGAGACCAGAGAGAGACCAGAGAGAGACCAGAGAGACCAGAGAGACCAGAGAGAGACCAGAGAGAGACCGAGAGAGACCAGAGAGAGACCAGAGGGAGACCAAAGAGAGACCAAAGAGAGACCAGAGAGGGACCAGAGGGAGACCAGAGAGAAACCAGAGAGAGACCAGAGAGACCAGAGGGAGACCAGAGAGAGACCAGAGAGAGACCAGAGGGAGACCAAAGAGAGACCAAAGAGACCAGAGAGAGACCAGAGGGAGACCAGAGAGAGACCAGAGGGAGACCAAAGAGAGACCAAAGAGACCAGAGAGAGACCAGAGGGAGACCAGAGAGAGACCAGAGGGGGACCAAAGAGAGACCAAAGAGACCAGAGGGAGTCCAGAGAGAGACCAGAGAGAAACCAGAGAGGGACCAGAGAGAGACCAGAGAGGGACCAGAGAGGGACCAGAGAGAGACCAGAGAGAGACCAGAGAGACCAGAGAGAGACCAGAGAGAGACCAGAGAGAGACCAGAGAGACCAGAGAGAGACCAGAGGAAGACCAGAGAGAAACCAGAGAGGGACCAGAGAGAGACCAGAGAGGGACCAGAGAGAGACCAGAGAGAAACCAGAGAGAGACCAGAGAGACCAGAGAGAGACCAGAGGGAGACCAGAGAGAGACCAGAGAGAGACCAGAGGGAGACCAGAGAGAGACCAAAGAGACCAGAGAGAGACCAGAGGGAGACCAGAGAGAGACCAGAGGGAGACCAAAGAGAGACCAAAGAGACCAGAGAGAGACCAGACGGAGACCAGAGAGAGACCAGAGGGGGACCAAAGAGAGACCAAAGAGACCAGAGGGAGTCCAGAGAGAGACCAGAGAGAAACCAGAGAGGGACCAGAGAGGGACCAGAGAGAGACCAGAGAGGGACCAGAGAGAGACCAGAGAGAGACCAGAGAGAGACCAGAGAGAGACCAGAGAGAGACCAGAGAGACCAGAGAGAGACCAGAGAGAGACCAGAGGGACACCAGAGGGAGACCAGAGAGAGACCAGAGAGACCAGAGAGAGACCAGAGCGAGACCAGAGAGAGACCAGAGGGACACCAGAGGGAGACCAAAGAGAGACCAAAGAGAGACCAGAGGGAGACCAGAGGGAGACCAAAGAGAGACCAAAGAGAGACCAAAGAGAGACCAGAGGGAGACCAGAGGGAGACCAGAGAGACCAGAGAGACCAGAGAGAGACCAGAGAGAGACCAGAGAGAGACCAGAGAGAGACCAGAGAGAGACCAAAGACCAAAGAGAGACCAAAGAGAGACCAGAGAGAGACCAGAGAGAGACCAGAGGGAGACCAGAGAGAAACCAGAGAGAGACCAGAGAGAGACCAGAGAGAGAACAGAGAGAGACCAGAGAGAGACCAAAGAGAGACCAAAGAGAGACCAGAGAGAGACCAGAGAGAGACCAGAGGGAGACCAGAGAGAAACCAGAGAGAGACCAGAGAGAGACCAAAGAGAGAACAGAGAGAGACCAGAGAGAGACCAGAGAGAGACCAGAGGGAGACCAAAGAGAGACCAAAGGGACCAGAGAGAGGCCAGAAAGACCAGAGAGAGACCAGAGGGAGACCAAAGAGAGACCAAAGAGACCAGAGGGAGACCAGAGGGAGACCAGAGAGAGACCAGAGAGAGACCAGAGACAGACCAGAGAGAGACCAAATAGAGACCAGAGGGAGACCAGAGGGAGACCAGAGAGAGACCAGAGAGACCAGAGAGAGACCAGAGAGAGACCCGAGAGACCAGAGAGAGACCAGAGAGAGACCAGAGAGAGACCAGAGGGAGACCAAAGAGAGACCAAAGAGAGACCAGAGAGAGACCAGAGGGAGACCAGAGAGAAACCAGAGAGAGACCAGAGAGAGACCAGAGAGACCAGAGAAAGATTAGAGAGAGACCAGAGAGACCAGAGAGAGACCAGAGGGGGACCAAAGAGAGACCAAAGACACCAGAGAGAGACCAGAGAGAGACCAGAGAGAAACCAGAGAGGGACCAGAGAGAGACCAGAGAGGGACCAGAGAGAGACCAGAGAGACCAGAGAGACCAGAGAGAGACCAGAGAGAGACCAGAGAGACCAGAGAGAGACCAGAGAGACCAGAGAAAGACCAGAGAGAGACCAGAGAGGGACCAGAGAGAGACCAGAGAGGGACCAGAGAGAGACCAGAGAGACCAGAGAGAGACCAGAGAGACCAGAGAGAGACCCGAGAGAGACCAGAGGGAGACCAGAGGGAGACCAAAGAGAGACCAAAGAGAGACCAAAGAGAGACCAAAGAGAGACCAGAGGGAGACCAGAGGGAGACCAGAGGGAGACCAGAGGGAGACCAAAGAGAGACCAAAGAGAGACCAGAGGGAGACCAGAGGGAGACCAGAGGGAGACCAGAGGGAGACCAGAGAGAGACCAGAGAGAGACCAGAGAGAGACCAGAGAGAGACCAGAGAGAGACCAGAGAGAGACCAGAGAAAGACCAGAGAGGGACCAGAGAGAGACCAGAGAGAGACCAGAGAGAGACCAGAGAGAGACCAGAGAGAGACCAGAGAGACCAGAGAGACCAGAGAGACCAGAGAGACCAGAGAGACCAGAGAGAGACCAGAGAGAGACCAGAGAGAGACCAGAGAGAGACCAGAGAGACCAGAGAGACCAGAGAG